GTAGGTGACTCAATGTTTTTTTACTCCGAGATGTCCTCCTGTTAAATTATCATGGGATTGACACAACACAACTTCCCGTAAATTTCTCGGTATAACCATTTGCCAGGTCGTCACTTTCCCATCTGCAGTTTCCCATCTCCGGAGAATAATACCATCTTCAAGCTTCAACTGGTCCCATTGTGCCCAATAATTAATATTTATACCTGGTTCCATTTCACGATCATCAACTCCTTCAGTCATTTTGACTTCAGCTTGATAACACCTGGTTAGCTCAACCTCTCTTTTGACAGTTACCGGAATTTGGCCTTTGTTGTTCCCAAACATCATTTTATCAAAATTAATTACAAACTTCTTCGGTAATAAATAGTCCAATCCTAATATGCATTGGTCTTCAATGTCAGCAAAGTATACTTTGCATCTGTTCTTCATGCCTATGAGCTCAATAGTTACCCACACTGGTCCCTACAACCTTGTAGAATGTCCCGTCACACCACAGAGCTTCTGTGTGGCTTCTGGTACTCTTTTGTGATCCAGCATCTTGATACTCACAAGGATTTGCTGAGATGCAGAATCTATGACAAAGTTGCACCTTTGGCCATCTAGCTTTCCTGTCACGTAGACGCTATGTGTGCTTGGCATTTTACACTTAGATGTTGGGACTTTCACAACTGGGGTTGGTAGGTGTCCATCAACACGAACCACTACTGATTTCCTTAAGGCTGACTTATTGGTGGTACTCTTCTTACTCCTCATATGTCCTTGATCTCCACAGTTCCAACAAGCTTTCTGGGTAGCAGCCTTTCCAGCTGTGTTGAAGTTGCCAGCATTGAGCTCTCTTGTGCCCAGGTTTATTACAGTGCCAGCAAAGTCCCTCAAACTTCTCCGAAAGCTGACATTTTCTGGCCCTTAATCCTGATTACTGTACCAACCTTGGTACCTCTATGCTGGACTTAACGTAGGATTCAAATTCAAGAGCTCTGGCCATTGCATTATGCATGGTAGAGGGGCGTGCTTGCTTTACTTGTATCTTAGGTTGTGGACTGTCCAAGGCATCTACAAACTGATCCCTCAGCAACAACTTGAGGAGATCAGGTGGTGCAGTTTAGTAGGTCTTGTGTGCCATACTTTCCAAGTCTTGTGCCAGCTCTCCCCTTTAGCACAGACTCTCGTCCTAAACCTAGCCCTGTAGACTTCAGACTGATTTTGAGTTCCATACCCGAGTTATAGAGCTGCTACCAGTGCTCTATAGTTGTGCCTGTCATCTGCTGACAACTGTCCAAGTATTTCCAATGGTTATCCCTTCAAGCTCGTTGCCAGATATACTGCTTTCTGCTCCTCTGTCCATCCATCTGTCTCTGCAAAATTTAGGTTCGAGTTATGTCACATTTTCTGTGCAACATAGTATTGAAGATACCTGTATATTGAGTTTTTAGTAATAGTATTGAATATTTTTGTTTCAATTTTGCATAGTATATTCCTTCCGTTGCATTTAATATAGTGAGACTACATGTTCAACAACAAAATTACCCATTCCACACCTTGTACAAATATATATATATATATATATAAACCACAAAAATCTGTGTTTTTATCTGTTTATCCTTTATCTCTACCCCTAGGTAGCCAAACTTTGTGGGATGATAAGGTGGAACAAGGGGCATGTTACTGGGGGTTGACAACACCCTCTTCCATTATTGAAAATTTATTATCTTTGTCGTAAGTTAAAATTAATTACAATCACAGACGGCGCCCGTCCCTACAAAAAATGTTAAATTTTCTATAATACAACATACACAAAAGGGTATGTGTGTTCTGCCCACCATGGGTATCAAAACCTGGTTTCTAGCATTGTAAGTCTGCAGACATACCGCTGTGCCACTGGGGGGCATTCTTTGAACCTTACCTGAACAGGCTTTGTGTTTCCCAAATGTGTTGTTTATTACACTTACACCTAGTGCTATAAACCACGTTCTTTGTGAGGGGTTTGTTTGTAGTTAAGTACAAAGCTACACAAAGGGCTATATGTGCTCTGCCCACCAAGGGTATCGAAACCCGGTTTCTAGCGGTATAAGTCCATAGACACACCACTGTGCCACTGGGGTCTTTGTGAGAGGAACAGAAAGTAGGGATTTTACCTTTGTAAGACTGTCGCATAGTGTAGGAGAACTTAAGAAAACTACAGTGATGTTATATTTATTCATTAACCTACAACGTTATTCTCCTAGGCCTGGTATGTAAGGAAGAAACACCTTTTCCTTTCGATGTGATTCATTAGTAGTTGAGACAGATGAACCATATAACACACGTTGAATCATTTTATTTGGATAACTGTTATTCGTGAACATTTTCTCAAGACGTTTAAGTTCTTCATCTAGGTAAAACGAGGAACATATACTTGTAGCTCTAGATCTTAGTGTTCTGATAATCCCAGTTTTGACAGCTTTTGTATGGCATGGGTGAAAATTCAGATATTTGTTTGAATCTTCTTCTGATAAACGATAAACTTCTCCGAACTCGTGTCCTTGTGAACCAGAACATCAAGGAATGGAAGAGTGTTATTGGTTTCAAGTTGAAAAATTGTATGATGTCAAATTGGCTGTTCAGATGCGCATGAAAGGTTTTGAACTCTTCCTCTCCATGGGTCCATAAAATAAACGTATCATCAACATATCTTACCCATATACGAGATTGATAAGATGTAGTGTTAAAATGGTGTGTTCAAAATGCCACATGAATATTTCTGCTACTACAGGTGATAAAGATGAACCCATTGGGGTACCGTTTAACATACTGTAAAATTGGCCATTCCAATGGAAGCAATTTGCATCGAGACAGATGTCCAGCAAGACCATGATGTTTGAAATGCTGATGAACATTCTTGTTGGAAGTGAGATGTCATCACTTAATCGTTTGTGTATTATATCCTTGGTATCTTGCTGAAAAGACATCTGAGTTTGATCTTGTGACATATTAGCAAGTTTCAGAAACTGTTATCTACATGTGACAAGAGATAAATAAGCATAAACGTCTTAATGATAATTAAATAAGTGCACTATCTCTTGGAATTAATTTTGTTCATACCCCTTACACTGACATTATTGCTTCTACTCAAGAAGTCACTAATACATTAGACCTCACAATTGTTAATGAACTGTGCTTCCAAGATCGAGAAGCCCTAAAATCATCTACGATTAACCTTCGAAGCAACCTAACTAAAGAAGAACGTGGATTCGCCAACTTGTAAAATAGCCAAATTTATTTCTAGCGTGCTAAAACCTGTGAGAATAGATCCAGCTTATTCAATTAGAAACTCACGAGAATTCTGACCAAGTAATGTCCAAAGAGGATATGGCTAGTCTCGAAGCAAAAACACCCCTAAAAACTGCAAAATAAAAAATGCGAAACCCCAAATTTGTATGTACCCCCACATAGACACAACAAACCTTCACGCCAAATTTGGTGAAGATCCATCCATAGGAGGTGAGGTAGTGGTAAAAAAAGCCAATAAAAACATCAAAACGCAAGTTTGTATGTCCCCATGGACCCAATGAACCTCCATACCAAATTTGGTGACGATCCACCTATACGAGGCGAAGTAGTGGTAAAAACTCAAAACACTCATAAAAACCGCAGAACTCATAATGAGATAAATTAATACTGTACCGTGTACCTTTTTCTTTTGCATTATCTTAGGACTAAACTATACTGTACTTAATACTATCTATAAATAAACTTATAATGTTATTCTAGGACCTAACGTCAGACCTTCTTAAAAACTTCAAGCTTTTAATGTTAGTGTACTAAATGGTTAATAAACAATATTTACATCCACCTTTTTTTGTTATTCCTTCATTTACAGAACAGTTGTAGTGATTTGTTCGTTGAGCTTTCCAGCTCTTTGGCGCAGACAGGTGCTTGCACTGTTTTTCTGAGTAAAGTTTTACTGTGCATACCAACAGCAGAATTATAGTGTCACAAGATTTTGGTGTCTGCGATTAGAAATCTTTGGTATTACTAGCTGGAGTACTCTTCCCCTGGATGGAAGTTACGTAAATTCATGTTTGATGAAAGGTTATTTTAAGACATGAAAAATTGATTCCCTTATATGCAATTGTAAAAAATGCAAAAACGCCTATAAAAACTGAAAATTTGTATGTATCCCGCGTGAATCTAATGAACCTCCATACCAATTTGGGTGAAGATACATTCACACCTTGTGAAGTAGTTACATGGACATACAACAGACAGTACTATCATATTAATATAGGTTCACCATAATTCTATATGTTAAATAACTTTAATACCAGATGTCAGTTATTGTTACAACTGTTGCCTAGATACCTATTTTAAAGCAGTGTTCCACAGTTAAACGAATTTTTATCATTCAGTACATTGTTATCGGATGAAGTCTCACAACTAAAAGTATTTTAACACAGAGAAAAGTCAGTGTATAATTCTACATATTAATTTACCTAAATTATGAGTCTTAAACAACAAAAGCTGTTCTGTACTAGCTGTTAATTCTGTATGACATAAATACCAAATTAACATTAACTGTTAATATATGAGTGACATGACAATACACAACAAAAGCTGCTCAGTACTGACTGTTAATAGATATACAGCATGATACTGTATAACAAAACTATATCTAATGAAAGGGTACTATTCATACTTTTCTAGGGAAGAAGGAATATAATAAACACTGCACACTAGAGCATTACATAAAGTTAGGTAGTCATGGTAAAGATTGTTTGTGGGACTTATATCTATGACCTCATGAGAGCTAGTAACTGGACATGTGGGACTTATATTTATGACCTCATGAAAGCTAGTAACTGGACAACAAATTCTGGGTCAAATATCAAAAATAAAAAAGTGCATCTGTATAACACAGAACAGTAGAAAGCAAAAAATAAAAATCTCAATTTTTTAAATTAATTTTGTTTAAGTGATGCCACAATTATTCTAATAATTTTTACTATTACCATGTATTTTCACATATTTTTTATTTCAATCTTTCCAAAAATACTCGCAGAAACACAAAACAAAAGATTACATAAAAAACAATTATATGAAGTTGTATGTACATTATGAAGGACTTACAGAAAACAAAAGACACTTCAGCCACTTATTTTGAAACACATCACTTATAAGTAAACAGCAGAGAAAAATACTAGTTTCAGTTATTTTGAAAAATGACAATTATTTGAATAGTCATGATAAGATCACAGTCATGAATGAGTTAAACTGAATTTGAGTTTGCCAAGAACAAAATAAGATTAGCTTCTGTAGATCAGGACACTAAACAGGTTAAACTGAACGATGTTTAATACAGCAATTTGTCATTGTGTTGTTCAGAGCTGTCAAGACATGGTACATACTCATGTCTATGACTGTCCGCTTGGTGTAGCATCTACATTTGTGTATCTCACTTGCTTCTTGTCTGCTACCACTCTGCATCTCCAACAGCTTTCTGAAAAACATAATCCTTACCTCTGAGGTTCATTATACCATCCTTTAACTGAAACTTCCACCTGTTTCTGCTTTTGGATATCTAATCAAATTGAGAAAGAAACAGAAATATATCACTGACTAAAAACTTACAGACAAAATATAAAAAGAGGCATTGAATAATTTCATAAGAATAGCTTAACAATTTAAGAAAAAAAAACTTTTTTTTATAACTTCAGTGCTCTAAACATTATACTAAAATAAAAATAGTAGGTTTAAGAACTTTAATGGAATAAAAGGGAGAGGACATTTCGAATTCTATATTGAGACCTCCTTTAGTTGAAACCCATTAAAGTTCTCGTCCAGTAATACTAGGATCTACATGTCATGCTTGGAGTGCTCAGTGATACTAGGATCTACTTGTCATGCTTGGAGTGCTCAGTGATACTAGGATCTACTTGTCATGCTTGGAGTGCTCAGTGATACTAGGATCTACTTGTCATACTTGGAGTGCTCAGTAATATCAGGTTCTAAATGTCATGCTTCGAGTGCTCAGTAATAGCAGGTTCTACATGTCATGTTTGGAGTGCTCAGTAATAGCAGGTTCTACATGTCATGCTTGGAGTGCTCAGTAATATCAGGTTTTAATGTAACAGGTATTACCAAGTTCTATATGTAATGTTTGGAGTCTCAATAATACCAAGTTCTATATGTAATGTTTGGAGTGCTCAATAAGTACCAAGTTCTATATGTAATGTTTGGAGTTCACTGGGCACTCCAAACATTAAATGTAGAACCTGGTATTACTGAGAACTCCAAGCAATTCATATAGAATTTTGTATTACTGAGCATTCAAGGTTGAAACATGATTAACTTGTATTATTACAATAAACAACTATCTTTACTTAAAACAGCTGAAATTAAACAAAGATTGTAACAAGGAAATGTTAATGATTGCTTGTTCATAGCTAAGTTAAGGTAAAGTATTACGTAGCAACATGTGTTGTTAGAAAAGTGTGCTTTCATTTTTTCTTTCTTTCTGATGAACAGTTTTAAACAACTCGACAACATGGGGATGATGACAAAAATCTATTGGAAATGAAGTTATAGCAATAAAAGTACAAGTCGAAGATTGCCCAGTGGCTTTAAACAGTGAACATACAGGGTTTTGGTAGTAGCACTATTTGCAGGAATACCAATATATTACATAATTCCAAGTATGTCTAATAAAGAACCTATCTTATTGTGAAATTTTGTCACATTATAGATTGTTTCTTTTTATATATATATATAGCGAAAATGGTTAACACTGCCAGAAATGAATAAACAATTAAGCAACTAACATTCTTATTAAATAACCTTCATCAGACAGTTTATGAAATATTGGCCTAAATGTTAACTACTAAATTATTTTCAATCTCAGGCAATTTTTATAAATTCTTTGTATTTTAAGTACGTGCCATAGATCCATGTTCATTTACTTTACATGCTATATAGTGTTGAAGCTGACCACATCTAATCAAAAACATTGTTCCAATTGTTATTAATGTACAACACTAAAGAAGAAAGAGAAGCTTCAATTTTTAGCCTTTGGTTCATCTGACAGTGATACAAAACAAACATATTTGGAATTTTTGTGAATCAATTCCATGAAAAAGATGTTGTAAGAACTAAAGAAGTACATACAAATACTAGTTTAAGAAAGAACTTGGCAAGAAAAACAATTTCAGTTCTATACACAAACTAAGTAAGAAAAACATCTGAGACTAGAAAAGCTAAAAGACTGTAATTATAAGTTTCAAGTTTTGGAAACTTCTCACAAGCATGAATTATTAATTAGGACAGACCACTTTGTTCACATACACATGTACAGTGACTGTGTGTGCACAAATAAAAAGTTTACAAGAAGCTATTTATCAGCAAGTAGGATTTATTATTTACTAACACTAAAACCATTTCTGTTGATAAAAAATTTACACATTCATCATACAAACCAAGCCACTAGGTTACACACACACTCATTCCACAAACCAAGCCACTAGGTTACACACACACTCATTCTACAAATAAAGCCACTAGGTTACACACACTCATTCCACAAATAAAGCCACTAGGTTACATGCTCATTCCACAAATCAAGTGAATAGTGGGCAGGTACCAGAGGATTGGAAGTTAGTTATTGTAACTCCTCTTTTCAAGGGTGGTTATAATAATTTATTGGAATTTAACTCTGTAAAAGGTCATGAGATGCACACTGACCTACCTATAACAAGAAGATTAGTTATAATTTCACTTAAGCTTCATGTGTGGTTTTATTACTCACCTGAATTTCCTAAGCTAGCCAAACCTTGTAAGACTTGTTGGGATTACAGTCACAAATACAAAGAGTGAGTGTTCTTTGTTGATTCGTTGTAGTTTAAACATTACAGGTTTTAATTTTTTGGTGTATTAGTTTATAAGATTAAGTACTTCTAGTCAGTATGTGAAATATGAGTGTCTCAATTTAATGCATATGTTATTTTATTTCTAATTATATATTTAAATTACTTTTGATCAGAAGTTCTTATTGATAACTTCTATTGTAGTGTAATATTAATACAGGCTACATTCTGTAACATTTTAATTATGACTATCCAACAGTAATTGATGCAAGTTATATAAAAACAACTGTCTAAATGTATTCAGTCTCACAGCTCTTTGACAGTTAGTTAATGACAATGGCTAACACAAGTCATATAACAAAGTCTGAAGTTTTATCATAAACATGTCAATGGATAAAAGTAATGGGTGGCCTGTCATAAAATCTGTGCAAATTAAAATGTTTCAAATCATACTTATCAATACAGGGGAATTACACAAAATATAAAATAAAACTTTCATGCATCAAACTACAGTAAATTCTTTTATAGAATGTTCTTTTCTCTTTTTACCTTATCATACTGGCATACCACTACATTATCTGTTTCAAAGAGTTCTGAGGGGTCCTCATCACTTACATCATCTTCAGAGTTTAGAGGTTCCTACAGAAAAATAAAAAAAAACTTGAGGACATAATTGAAAGACCTTTAAACTCCTCCATCAATATAATAGTTATAGATTATTAGCCTAGTACTCTCTTCAAAACATGAAATTTGAGAAATATTCTCAGTCTTCCAATAAACAGATTATAGGTCTGTGAAGCACTAGTCTTGAAGTTTAAATCAGTGCATGACAAAATTAGTTTGTCTTATGATTTACTTAACTCTATCTCTCAGATGCTTTAACCACTATTACCCATACATTGCAGACCAAACTCTGGTTATGATGCCTGAAAACACTTTATTTTTAACTCTACTAAAGAGTATAAAATATCTTACGAGTCGTAATTATGCTCAGCATACATCAAAAGTATTCTTTAACAGAAGCTTACACTAATGCATTTCTTCAGCTCAGGCTGATACTTTTTCAGCTTTTCCAAGCCAAAAACTCCCTCTTTTTTATTCCTTCAGTGAACAACCACAAATAAAACCAGTTAAGTTAATCTCCACCTTTCATTATCGCTTTTAATGATGATTACAACATAAACTTAAGCAATCTGATCTGCAACTTCAAAATTGTCAAACTAATTTCAAACAGTTGGTCAAACAATTTTACTACAGTCAGAATAGATCAACCTAGTCTTAGAGAAAGCAAGATAATAGGACTTATGATATCACAAACACCAAGCCAGGTCAAGCAGTCCAAGTAATTAACTCAGTATGATTAAATTGGTTCAAAGAGTCATTTATATTCATGGACAAATATACCGAAATGTTTTTGCAATTTGAATTATGGTGAAAGCAACTGAAAAATTACCATGGAAATGTTAAAGTAACAAAAATTTTACCGACCAATTACTATGGACATGTTTTTCAATAAAAGCATAAAATTCTTAAACTTACATATTCTTCTTCTGTAGCACACTCATTATCAAATTCATTCTTTTCATCATCATCATCTTCTCTGTCATCATCATTATCCTGAAAGTCATCATCATCATCATCTTCATCACTAGTATCATGTGCTCCATCCACTTGAGGTATTCCACTAGGCTGCAAGGTAAATGTGTATATAACAGACTTTGGCATTAAGCATCAGTTACAGTGAGATTGTTTTCAATGTTAAAAATGTTTGAAATTTTTTATTATCTATATTAAAAACACTCTCTCTCCAGTATACAATGCTTTATTGCTCAGTATTTTGCCTTATGGTTTCTTTAGGAGTTTTGTTTTGTCTACAGATACTACTGAAACTTATGAGGAATAGGTATGTAGCTATGTGGTAAGTGGACACTTCCTCAAGTTGAAGTAGCACAGATTTCATTTATAATGTAAAACACCTAACATTCTTTGAAGTTATACTACAGCAATATGGATTACTTTACTGAATCACAGATAATTATATTACATGTGACTCTGCTACTGAAAGTATATTATGCTTAGTTTCATTTCTAATTACATACACAATGCATACCACTTTTTTCAAAGACCATATGAAGGTTCAAGCCACCTACACAATACTTCTATTCCATTCATTATGAATTTAGTCTAGTTAATCCCTATATCATTAGTCTAGAAGACATACTGTGTCATGAAAACTATGATGAATATTAGAAACAACTTAATGTTTTTTAAATATCTCATTTGGTTGGCTGGAAAATGGCCTTGTGTGTGTGTGTGTTTTTTTTTTTTCTAAAGCAATGAATGTGTAAGAGTTTAATGTTAATTTCAATCATATTAGAAGTGTAGCAACAGGTAATGAAGATATGGTAGAATTTATAACATTTATGCATATTCTAGAACGAAAACCATTTAAACATCATACCAGCTGTTTGGTACTTCTTAGCTTTTCTGAATTTCTTAACACAGTATACCCTTTTGTAAACTTTAAACTTGATTATTCATCATCAAGTTGAATTTAGATAATCCTAAACCCATTAAAAAATTACATGCTCATATTTAGCAAACCTTCTACTGAAGCTCTGTCATTCACATCATCCCTCTGTAGTTTAAAGATATATAATAGCAGGATACATTGAAAAGTTGTGCACTAACAAAGACATTTTGAAAGCAAGAGGAGAGCTGAATATTTTTAAAGTAATCTAAAGACACAGTTACAGGTTTTGATAACAACAAACAAATGGAAAATGTTTCTGAGATCAAAATACTGCATGTTTAATCAAGTTTTGGCAGTTGGACCTTACAAGAATGAAAAAATCATTACAATTCTTTTACTAGGAAATCACAAGACAATCCTATTTATCTGGTTGGTCCAGAAAGTGGGCACATCTTTAAGATATGTAACAAAAGAAGTCTGCATACAAAGCAGACATGCAGTGCCTGTATACAGCATGCAAAGATCACTGCTAAAAAAGATCATATAACAAGCTATCATGGAGAATATTTTGTCACTTAAAATCAGGCCACTACATGACATAATATTTCAAAGATAGTCAAAGGCTCCACACGACCAAAGTAACTGCAGAAATCTATGCTGATAAACATCTGGTCACATTTTATCTGATGAGTGTACATCTTGAAAATAATCCTGCAGTACAGTTTCCATTGCAAAAAGTCTCAGTTGTAAGGCTGTCCTGTTTGAAGCAATCCACTCCTTTCTTCACTTTCTACAATCCATCTGATGTATGGGGACGACAAATTCCTATCATCCATTTCAACAATTCAATTACACAGAAATCCATGGGTGCAGCATTCAGAATAGCATGCATACCCATTTCATTCTCCAAATGCTTGTAGTTTGCAATGGTTGAACGGATAAATTGTGAAAGCAATTTGTCTACACATGACTTGCATCATCTTTCCAGACAGAAATCTTTCTAAATTATGTTGTGTCTGATGCTCAGGGATTGTGAACAACTTTTGCTAATGTCCTTTATATTCATGGATTCTCACCTTTTAGAATATTGCTTACCATGGCTGGTGCTAGTGGGGTAAAATTCTTGCAGGCCTTTTTATTGATAGTCCTGATGCCCTAAGTTGATTGATATTCCTTTGTTTCCACTGCCATATAAGGGATATCCTCATCTTTGACAATTTTAAATGTCCAATCTAAACACATCTTTATGATCTAAATGTATGAATATCTTACATCTGAAGGGTTGTTACATATTTTTTTCCAAAAAGAGACAAATTTTCAGTAGCATCATGCTACCTAAGAAAATCCAAACAATGTCAAATGTACTTTTGATATATGAAGTTCTATGCCAGTTTACATCAGTTGTGGCTGTCAAGTGACTTGCTGATTTGCATATTCAAAACTGTTTTAATATAGCATACTCCATCTTCTGTATTATTGACTTTACTAATTTATCTGGGATTCATTATTGTTTTATTTAATATTGTTGGAATAGGATTTCAAAGAATGTTATTGTTATGAAATACCTACCAGTTGTACATGAGGAAATGTGTTTACTTACTTTATAGCTGCATTTTATTTTACACTAAATTTCATTGGTGTATCTAAGGTGAAATACTTCCGAAAAAGCTGTATGAGAAACATTTGGATAATAAAAAAATATATTATGTGGGTAATAGTTTTATATAGGTAGTTACTATAACATGTGTCTAGTATGAATCTGCAATTAGTTAGAGTTTATTTTACACTTATAAATAAAACCTTAAAAAACAACAACCCAAAACAAGTTTATGCATTCTAGTGTAAATTAGTTGAGTTGGTAATATAACAAGGTTTGATCCAATCAGAAATAAACAAAGGTTTACCTGTAAAACTGTAGAGTTGGTAGTCCGAGATACATTTACAGTATAATGAGTTTGTTTGTCTGAAGGTAGAGTTTGAGACTTGATTTCTCTTCCTTGGCTATTGGTTTCTGAAAGTTGAAATTTTCACAGTGACTAGAATAGCAGCTGGTATAATTTCTCTGAATTATTTATTTTATAATACAAAACAGATAGTATGAATTTTCCCTAAATCTTGTTGTTAATGAAATATTATTCATTATGATTTACTAAATTATATGTTATCAGAAATATAGTTAAAAGTTATTGTGTTGCTTATAATTATGTTGCATGGATGTTATAATGTCATCATACATGTCACATATTTATTTGGTCAAGTTTTAGTACCACTACAATAACACAAACATATCCCCTACCTGTGTTTTTGTATGTTAAGTAAAGGTAACTTAGTAAATGGGTATTGTTTAGAAACACTTGCATTGACTTCAGGGTCCTGTATATAATAAATATCTTTATAGTTATATTAAGCATACACTGTATTTCTAACTCTTGTACAATTTTATATTGCTTGTCAGAAAACTCTCCCATTGAAGTAAATATACTGATAACTAGGCAAAAAAGAATAAACAAAATTTCCACATTTTTTGTTATTTAAAAAACTGAGCATTTAATTTTTGTTTTGGAAAATAATTTAGGGAAACGTGTATATATATATATAAAAATAATTAGCAAGATGTAACATGGACCAGTAACTGACATTTATAACAATTGGAATTCACAAATATAAAATAAAACACTGACAGTAGCTATGTAGATGTTACAAAAATGACACTTCATACACAAGTACACACTATCTGGATAATTATACCAGTGTTCTGTCACTGGTTAATTAGCATGACACCAACATAAAGAAAGATCTACATATCTCTCTCTGAGTAAGTGATCAATCAAAACTGGCTTTTAAGACTAATCTGTGCAAGTCTAGTTAGTTTGACATCAAACAAATGACACATGTTGCTATTTAATGATAGAAAGATATAGAAAGTAAAGCCTCAAACCTTTGAAAAAATTATGTGTATATAAAAACACATGCTGAAGAAAGAATGCCATTTTACTAAACAAAAAAATTATGAAACAGAGAGTACAAGACTACCATTAGTATATAATTATCTCCTCTTGAAATATTTAAGTCAGAAACACAGTTCCATGTTGTATTTACAACATTTGAAATATAGGCTTGTTGTAAGGCATTGTCATTCCTGGCATGAAAACAAGGATATCTCTAGAAGTTGGATGCCTAAAACATTTTCACAAGGAATGATCGAGGGTGGATTGCACATGCTTGATAAGGTTCACACTTGACAATTGGCCTGGCCACAGGGAAATAGTATTGCTTCGACTTTCAAACATTTGTTTCATAAGTTGGGTTGAATGAGTGGAAGCCATATTACAGAAGACACTGCCGTGTCTGGTAATCTGGTCATTAAGAACAGTCAGGTACAGGACCTTGCTCAAGTAGCAATGACAATTCCATCACATATTGCCAGTTGCAACTGTCCAGTTAACCGAATGGCACCCATACAATAACAGAAATACTGCTATATTTTGCCATGGCTTGAAGACAGTTTAATGTATGTTCCTTGGAGAATAGTGAGCCCAGTGTCAAAGAACTGTGCAAACTCGGTTGCACTGAAAAAAAACTGCAGTGTCCCAAAATAAAATCTGTGATGCTCACTGCTTTTGACATACAATATTGCCAGGAGTGGGTCCAGTATAGTTAATATGCTTTAGTATTTCATACTAAAAAGATAACTTCTGATGGTAATCGAAGGGGGGGAGGCACTTTCACCTGTCCTGTAATATAGGTAGCCATTAACATAGGTCATTCTCCACATTTTTCCTCACAAAGCTCAAAAGAGTCTGTTCTTTTTGTTGTTTTGGATACCTGGGCTATGTAGAAATTGTTTCCCTGCTGTGACTGAAACTGTATTTATACATTAAAGTTAGTTGCATATGACATCATGGAGATGGTCTATTTGTATTCCCATGGTTTGTGTATTTACTTATTGGTAGGTCACATATTTATATACTAATAATGTATTACTAGTTCAAAATGTTAAGTTTAAATCTATGAAGAAAATACTAAACCAGAGGAAAATATAAAACTTACCACTATGAAGGGTTGTGGCTTGTAGATTTGGACTACTTAATATACCTGCTTGGCTTAAAGCTACCTGTTGAAATAAGTTAGCTGCCATTTGGGGATCTAGGGCAAGAGCAGCACTTGCAGCTGGGGCAGACTAAAAAATTGAAAGTAGTTAATATAAGTAGGTTGCAACTACAAGAATTAAACACCTTTATACAATTTCTATCATCTAGTATCACTTTCAAGTCTAAAAAGTTCAACTCAGTTTGCAGTTGCTATATATAAAAAATTTAAGAAATGTGACTGGAATAGCATATCATTTCGTTTTTAATTTTTGGGATAATTTATTCAATGTTGGACAATTAACTTTAAAATGAAACAGCAAATGACAGTATTTTACAAACAAGAATGTACATGAATCTTAAAAATACTTGTCTGAAAACAATACTTTTCATACCAAAAATACCAATTACATCACACAAGATATCACTCTGAAACTCATTCTTTACTTTCCACTGCTTTTTTGTGATGATTTATAAAAGAAATGATTTATGTAATCCTAAATTATTTGAATAAACTTTTATTCTCTTCTGAAACACCTTGAGGCTAATAACAAATCTGCTTAGTAAAATTAATGAACTGAATGATGATACTACCCTTTCATTTTTCTCCTTTTATACTCAGTTCAGAGTCGAGTAACAAGTGACATTACCAAGGGTTTCACCCCCGAGTACTGATCCCACATGTGGAGAATCACTGCCTTATAGTACAGGGCTTTACATTAACATTTTCATCTTGTTATCCACGAGACAAGTGACAAATCAAACTTATCCACCTTGCTAAGTATTTGACCTGTCCAAAATGAGACCTTAAATAAACTGTCTTGTGATAACAAAATAATACAGTAACTACTCTTCAATGTATAATTATTGCTGTTGATAAAAAAATTATCTAGATTTCTTTTAACAAAATAGCTTATATAATTAACATTATTTCAATTTTCTTGATACAGTCCTTTTCTATAAAAGGTAAGCTGTGGGTTACCATCATCATGTTCATTTAGTTGATTCTGTTCAATAAACTTCACACACTTCTCTTCTGCTGCACCCTTGTACACCACAAGTGAACAGCTGGGGCTGGATGATTATCATTAATATCTGTATCTTGGTTTAATACCATCATCAAGTGATCTATGTATCTACTTGTAGACAGGATCTTCAGTCTGTGTTGACTCTTTTCCACGTGGAAAACCACTTTAACACACGGATGATGACACTGGAATTAGAAGAGCCACCTTAAAGACCATAAGAATGTTTGATAATTTCTGCTGAAACAAAGAGGTGATAGTTGAATTACATTGAGAGAGAGGCCTTCCTGATGTCCAGGCAGTGCTATTTTGGGTTTTGGCGCAAAATGATCCTTCACTTTATTCCATTCATTTGCCACTTTGGTGATATCACAGCCCATGCAGTAGAGCAAAGTGTTCATTCAAAGTATTCACAGCTGCATTTCCACAGGTAGCAAGGTCTTCATTATTTTAGGGCCAATCTTTTAGATCTCTAATCCTGCATTCCTGAAGAAACTAGTTATCTTGAGTGTTCTCAAATATTTTATTCAGTTGTCCCTGAATCCTTTTATTAATGTGAACAAAAGAATGCTCACTTTCAGGTCTCATCTGACAATTGGCTAGCTGGATTCCTCTTACATTCCATCTAGGGCAGCTTCCTGCAGGAACTGCTGCTGACACTGACCTGGCTACTGTGAGAGTGTAAGCAATTCAAGATTGACTGTTTATATGGCATCAAGAACATCAGCTGCAGTGGTTCTATCTTCTTGAGACACACGACTCACCACTGAAACAATACACAAAGCATCCTGTAGGAAATGAATAAAATGCAACATTCTGAAGTCTTTCAATAACCTTGCAATGTATTAGATTGTCAAGAAATTAATGGCACTTTTTTTTTAAATGAAAAAACCAGAACAACTTATATATCAAAACAAAACATTTATTGAATGAAACAGTCTCCATTCTTATTGATGATGCTTTTTCATCTTACAATCAGGTTGTTAATGCCCTGATTAATAAAATCACTTGGCTTTGAAGCAAAAAACATGTTGATGTGGAAGGTTTAAAGAGGACATTTGCATACATTCACCCTTTAAGATGGTGCTGCAGCAAATGAAAAAGATGATAATCTGATGGTGCCATATCTGGAGAATATGGTGGATGGGGGAGAACTTCCTAACCCAACTCCATAATCTTGTGTTGCATCAAACGTGCCACATGTGGACATGCATTGTCGTGGAGAAGAAGAACACCTTTTCGATTAACGAGTGAAGGGCGTTTCTGATGAAGGGCTTGATTTAAATGTTCCAGTTGCTGACTATAGATTTCTGCATTAACAGTTCACTGTAGATTGAGGAGTTTGAAATGAATTACTCCTTTGATGTCCCATCAAATGCAAAGCACCACTTTCTGTGGATGGAGTCCAGGTTTTGGGGTCGGAAGTGGCATTTGTCTAGGAGTCAGCCATTGCTTTTGAGGTTTAATATTCGCATAGAGAATGATCATCGGAGAGTTTGTGAGGCATCCAAACACCTTCTTTTAGAAGTTTTCTCATATTCCTTAGATGTTTACATATTTTTTCATGAGAGACATGTAATTTCAGGGCCATTTCACGAGTATGTTGCCTTGAGTTAGACTCAACAAGCATCTTCAGAGATTCATTATCAATTCCAACATGTCAGCCCCTGTCATCGCAGTTTTAAGGCTAAAGTCATCTGAACAAAATTTGCTGAGCTATCGTTGACACTTACGAATGTTCAAA